GGTTAGATATTTTTTAATAGGCCCACAGTAGGAAATAATTTTTTTAAATTACCCTTAAACCTAAATTAGGAAACTAATTTTCTTTTTAGGTAAATTACTTCTAAATTTAGAACTAACTTCCAAATTAGGAAATTAATTTCTAAAATAGAAAAATTTCTATTTTTTGAAAACTTTTCATTTTTGAAAACCTTTACCAAAATTGAAAACTTTTTCCAATATCTTTGCTTCTCTTTTGTTATGTGAATGCTTAAACTTATATGTGTGACTCGATAGACTCCTAGATATGTTAGCAATGTATCAAGAATAAAAGAGATATTTTTTATTCTTGATACATTGTCAACATATCTAGGAGTCTATCGAGTCACACGTATAAGTTTAAGCATTCAATAATAAAAGATACCTCTTTTATCTCTTAATACATAAATCAAAATTGGCCTCTAATATGGCATCATAACTACTCAAATGTCTTAGAGGATTAATTAATCCTCATGCTAATTTATCATAATGTGATCTCAAACATGGCTATTAGTCCGTTCGATTGTAATCACATAAGTTTTCTTCGATTTTCAAATATCTTGGCTTATAGAGTAGACCAACTATGTTCTATTTGTGCACTCTTCATCGTGGCCATATATTTTTTATGTAGATATTTATCGAAATGCAATATGATAACTCCTTTAACATACAAAGAATGACATGTCTTATCTTAGTCATCCATCTATCTCCATTATATTCCTAGTGCACCCAACAAATCACCCACGTGCAATCCTTTATTGGGTTCATCGAAACGAGTGTCAAAGTACATAATTCCTCTAATGAGATAACCGTGATGATTTTAAGTCTAAAAATCAGTTGTACCCATCTCGTATGAGATTTTCATAGATTAAAGCAAATGGGTTCTCATAGCAAGTCAAGTCTAGTGATATGTTTTCTAACATTAATCACTTAAGTGCTTACTTTGGCATCATCATTCTAATAGGTATGAGATCTTCGACTCGCTATCATATAGCATGAGCAAAACACTCATAAGTCTAACCATATATAGTCAATGTTCATTCTTGATGAGACGTTTAATGATATTATTTAAGTTCATTAATGTTTATCTCACATCTTCAATCAATCATTAATGCAAATGCATATCATATGAACTTTTATCTAATTCTATTCAATAAATAAATATAAATGATAAGAATTAATAGAAAGACTTCTTTTATTATTAATAAAATAAATAATATAATGATACAATAGCTCAAACCTATCCAAACATGATTGGATCTTGAGCACCTACACTAATAAAAAATGCTTTGATAATCTTAATAATGATTTCCAATAACAAATTTCATTGTGTTCTTATAGATTGTGCCGGCGTTATGAACATTCTTCCAAAATAGGCCTTTAACTTGATGAAAAATTCCATCTTAAAGCTACAATCCATCTAAACCCTCTTAGTAGGGATATAAGAGAAATGGGTACCGGTTGAACGAGCTCTCAATGTATCGACATAATAAGAGTCCACCTCGTATGGTCGATCCTTCGATAAACATTCATGGTAATTCATATAGATCTCATTTATAATGCCATAATGCGGAGACCTTTACTATAAGCAATAAATGCGATCATCAACACCAAATGCCTTTTCATAAAATTATGAGTTATAGATATAATCTCTACAATCGGAGGCAACTTTATCTCCAAAATAGAAGAATGATGCCTTTTTTTCCACCTTTAAAGGTATGAAGAATTTTTAATAGACGTCTAAGTGTGAAAGAGCTTTCAAAAAATTAAAAGTATTTATCTCTTTCTTGTAAGTCTTGTCATAACCCAAAGAATGAGAAATCTTGTTTCTATATCTAGGAGTCGAAACAAGACGATCAATGCTAACTTTATACGAAAAAAGGAAAAAGTATAATGATTGGTATGCTACACTACCAAAACTCTCTAAGATGAAGAGACCAAATACCTAAAAGTGGGAAAGTTAGTACTTGTACTAAGCACCTCTAGGAAGTTAAGGCAACATTTTCAAGCTCATCCAATCATGGTCTTAACTAAGTAGTCACTTCAATAAACACTTCATAAGCCCGATATATTAAGAAGTATGGTTCGATGAGTCATCAAGCCTTAAGAGTTTGGAATTTAGTATTGATCCACGCCAATAATCAAAGCCCAAGATTTAATAAATTTCATCGTTGAGTATTCATTTAATGAGTTTATAATGAATGAATCAAGAAAAATAAAGGAAAAAACCTCAATAACGACTTTTCTAAAGGTGGCACTTATTTTTTGATAGAGCCTCCAATATCCATAGAAATAGAGCTGGAATGGTACTCATTAGCTTGGTCTAAGAGGTTCCGGAATAAAGTCTTCATTTTGAATTTTCCACCTCTAATAATGTGGCTAAATATGAGGCTTTGATGGTCAAACTTAACTTAACAAAAGCCTTAAAAGCATACCTTCTTCAAGTCTACAACGACTCTTAGGTCATAATGAGACAATTCGATGGAGATTTTAAATTGAGATAACCTACTATGTCTTAATATTGTCGGCTAATAAAAAAACAAAAAGTAAAGAATGCCAAAAAAGAATGAAATAAGATTACCATTTTTCAAATCCCCGGAAGAAAAAATACACGAGCAAATCTACATTCAAAATTAGCTAGTGCTAATCCAATAGACCTCCTCCTAAAGGTATGGATTAAAACTCTTTAAAAAACTAGCATCGAGAAGAGTAAAAAGTTTTTGGTGGGCTCTATCATACAAGTATCCATCTAAAAAGATTGAAGAATGCTAATCGAGCAATACCTAAAAAATGAGATGCTCTTAATTGATAAAGTTGAGGCTCTACGACTACTAAAGATAACGAGCAAGTGCTATCGCTAAATGGACAAGTAATTTTATAGAAGATACATAACAATACTGCTAAAATGAATTTCTCCCAAAAAGAGGTAGTATGTATTGATAGAAATGCATAAAGGTGTGTGAGGCTTACATATAAGAACAAAGGTCTTGATAACCCAAGATATCTAGGTAGAATTTTATTGGCTTATTGTTGTCTAAGATCCAAAAATCGTGGTAAAAACATGTGATAAATGCCAAAGGTTTTCTTCAATTCTCTACCAAAGACTTTAGGTGGAAACATATATACTCGAAGAAAATAATAGGCTTCTCGAAGAACAACAATTGGAGAAAGAAGCTCAATCTCCATAACTACACTTAGTCCAATACCTAGAACTCCATCAATAACCTTTCAATAACCCAAACACCTTTTTTCGATATGATTCTCAATAATTTTTCCACCAATCATCATCAATCTAGGGATAAGAAATACATTCGATAAATAAAACCATGCCCTTTAAGTAGTATTAATCCTATCAATCATGACCACGATGGTCCTCCATCCATCCAAACAATGAAAGATCTACATCAAAGGTAGAAATTTCTCAAGTAAATATAAAAAATCATAAAGCATAAGGAAAAAGATCATTCCATCCCCATCTCTTATTAACGAGATAACCATATTCTTATATATAAAGACTAACATGTAAAAAGTTACAAGTTTTATCTTTTTTATATATATATAGTATCTTCTCCTAAATACGAGTTGAATATTATTAAATCTATTCAAGCCAAACATCTTTATTCTTATGCTAACTTAGCTATCGGAGGGTTCTCCAAATACCGAAGGAAGACTTGTTTTGCAAGTACACTCTATTGATTCAACACATAACAAATCACATCAACCACACGATCAATCTAGAATAGAAGTCATCTAGTCATCAATATTAATTCAAGGATAAGAACCTCATTAGTGACGTCGTATGTGAAATACTAAGAAAAAAGTCAATCTTAAACTATTGTATTTCTCTATCTTCAAGCTTCTCCATGGCTGATAGTCAAGAAACATGAACGTGTTCCACTTCATTTGACTTTGCTAGCTCTAATATTCCACCATTTGATGTTCTCTAGTTACAATGATGCTTCAAAATCCTAATAGAGGCTTATTTCGTAGCTCAAAAATAGGAAAGCTTCCATCAACTCGAACACGATTAGCATAGAATAGAATCCATCGAACCATTAATATTAATATGAGAATAACAACTTTATCAAGAACATCTACATGTAGTTTTTAAATATAACAATTAATGCAATTTTAAAGAAAACAAATACTTGCATATGTAATATAATTTTTCATTAGTATAAATTTGTTGACAAATTTTATATTAAAAAATTAATATCTTAAGAAATGTAGTTATAAGAAGACAGTTTGTTGTAATAGCATCCATTAATATCAAATTCTATATATGCATCCAAAAAGGAAATGTCAATATATATGGTTTATATACATTAATTAATCCTTTTATATTAATATAAAGGAGTGGTTCATGCATGTTTACAAGCAAGCAATGTAAACAGTGAGAAAGTACAATAAGACAATTTAGATGAGAAGTTAATGCATCATCCCATTATTTCATCATTCTTCCTTCTATCTTTTTGGATTTTTAAGCATGAACAAGTTATGCAATTTCCACTTTTTATAGCATGTGCATGGGAACTTATTTAATCATGATTGAGATTTTATACCAGGTAATTTCTGTGTATAAGATTAAAACTAACCCTTATGTCTTTAGCCCCTTGATCATGTATGCATCTTTGCTTGTCCGAGTGAGCAACCATTATAACCAACAAGTTTTATCATAGATGCGATTTTGCTCATAAAAATGAATGTAAAGGGAAAAAGGATATGCACACAAAAGTTAACCAATCTTTCTCATTTTATCATCAATCTTTCACTTTTTTGTTTTCACGTATAACTACTCATCAACCAACTTATCACTTTACTTGCTGTGGGGTCTGCAATACCCCTATTTATACCGACTGTATAGCCATACTCTGCCATATCATATCATATGCTTAGCTAAATTCATTGCTCTGCATTTAAACACAGACATCTTCATTCCATTCTCTTTACAAACGTACTCACATTTTTAGTATCTCACTTTAATTATGGCTTCTCTTCTCTTTCTTCCACTCATTCTATTAATGATGATCCCTTCAACGATCACTGCTCAAAACCCACCTTCTCCTGGCTACAACCCTAGTTCCCGAATAAGTTCAGTTGGCTTTGATCAAGCGTATAGGAACCTTTGGGGTGCCCAGCATCAAAGAGTAGAACAAGGCTCCGTAACGATATCGCTTGATAGTAGCTCAGGTCCTACTATATATATCTTCTTTACTAATAATTCAAACCTTTTTCTACGTACTCTAATACTTGTAGTTTGATTACACTTGAGAGCATATTATTCTCATTACTTATAACATCAATGGTAATTGCATAACAGGTAGTGGTTATAAGTCACTTCATCCATACCGATCGGGATACTTTGGTGCTGCCATCAAGCTTCAACCTGGGTACACTGCCGGAGTGATTACATCTTTCTATGTGAGAATTACATGATATATTCAGCTAGTATGAACATTAATTTAGATAAGGGTGATTTATATGTAGATACTTGGCTAATATTTCTTTTGATTTGTTGTGCTTTTTATTGGGTCATAACGACAGCTTTCGAATAATGAAGCCCATCCAGGGGACCACGACGAAATAGACATTGAGTTCCTAGGAACAACTCCCGATAAGCCATACACTTTGCAGACAAATGTCTATATAAGAGGAAGCGGGGATAGAAACAATATTATCGGAAGAGAGATGAAGTTTCATCTTTGGTTCGATCCTACACAAGATTTTCATAATTATGCCGCTCTATGGACACCAAGTGAGATCATGTTAGTACTACTACTACTTTAGCACACATTTTTATAGCCTTTTTTGTGATTGGTTTTGTGTGGTTTTTTTTTTTTTTTTTCTTTTTTTACTTTTAATTTTCTTTTGAGAAAAGTGGGATAAAGTTCCTTTTTTCAGTTGGTTAAGTTAACCAGGGTTTTTTTTTTTTTTAGGATGGAGGGTGGGGACTCAAGGGCATTATTTTGTACCTAATTTAATTTGCAGCGACTGTTTTTGCTTTGATTATTATTTTTTTTAAATTATGGTAAGGATTGCGAAAAGAAAGGTGAATATTCAAAGGAGAATAATCAAACAAATGAATACAAATTCATGTCTCCAACAAGTAGGAAACATACATACCTACCACCATCAGGAAAATAAATACGAAGGAAGAGATCTGAGACAATTACAAAAAGTCTAGATTTCAATAATTGTGATGTCCGTACCCGAACTTTAAATTCATACAATTTTTCCTTTTGGTTTTCTTCATTCATTGATGAAGTTTGTCTGATCATGATGTGGACTACGTACAGATTTTTGGTAGATGATGTTCCCATAAGAAGGTATCCAAGAAAGAGTGATGCAACCTTTCCCTCAAGGCCAATGTGGGTATATGGCTCAATCTGGGATGCATCATCGTGGGCCACCGAGGATGGAAAATACAAAGCCGACTACAGTTACCAACCCTTCATTGGCAGGTACAAAAATTTCAAAATCGGTGGGTGCACTGCCGATGGGCCCTCCTCGTGCCGGCCACCGTCCGTTGCTCCATCCGGTTCCGGTGGCTTGAGCCAACAGCAACACTCGGTAATGGAATGGGTGCAGAGGAACTACTTGGTTTATGACTATTGCAGGGATTCGAAGAGGGACCATACCCAAACACCTGAGTGTTAACTGTTAAGCATAGGGTCCATTTAGTCTATGTATAGAAACTACGAAGTGTGTTTGGTTTTATGCAAACGGTAATGGCCTATGTCCTATGGCCTATGGCCTACGCTTTCTTGTTGTTTTTCAGGTTATGAACAGTTTGTTTGGACTTGGAGTTTGAGGGGGTCTTGGGACGGGTCCCACTTGCCAAGAATGGGTGCAAGATTTGTTGATCGTCCAAGCCTCCAAGATCTGCTCGCAAGATTGGAATTATTTGCTTTTGGTGTTTGTATTATTGCTTTGTTGGCATTATTGGTGGAATATATTACCTCCTTGCTTTTATAAAGTTTAAACAATTGTGGCTTCTTGGTATCTTTCGAAAATTCCAAAATCATTGCTCTTTTAGCAGTTGGATGATTTATTCTGTGATCGGATGGGGATAAATTATACATATTTTTGCAATTGTTTTAGTGAATTTAAATTTGAATTTGAAAATCAACATTAAAAAAATAAATTGTTTCATTTTTTAAAATTCATTAGATCAATATAAAAGATAAACTCTTAAAATTGTTTCGAGAAACAAATTAATTTTTCGAAAAATTTTAACTGAGGAGGACAGGGTGACACAAACCCGCATAGAGAAAGATGGGTCATGGGCATATCACATCTACGAATTGAATACGTGTATGGATGTTTATAATCAGAGAGAGATGGGTCACGATTCATGGATGCTCTTCTGTCACTTTTAATTTCCCATGCAGAGAACGAAAATAACACATAAAATGGTATAGCTACCTGTGAAATTTGATTGTCTCACATGATTTGGATTTTAGTATGTGTCACATGTGAATTTTGATTTTGGACCCCGAAATGATAAATTGTCTTGCTTGGGTGCATTATTATGGTATAAATGTACTTGCTTCCTCGAATCTTGTGACTTGACAGGAAATTGGACCACGACCACTGAGCGATTTAGCTAGCTACTAGCCTGCTAGCCCCCCTACGTCTGTGATCTTCGTCCCGTGTTCATGGCATGGGCTATGCGCATTTACTTGAGGCTTCCTCCACCAAAGGGCAAAAACCTAATTCCATTAACAGCTTATGAGACTTCATGGGTCTGGAATTTCATAAACTTCTGTTTAAAATCCAACCATCTTGCCCACATCTTTAGAGGTGAACAAAAATAATTTGGTTTATGCTCCAACCATCTTTGTTCATATTAATTTGCCCACATCTTTGTTCGGTTTGAAAACTAACTACTAATTTTTTTATTCTTTCAATTTTTATATTCAAAAAATAAAAATAAAATTCAAATTAGAAATTTTATTTGGAAAAATATTAAAATTGAAATATTTCGATTCACATAATTCAATTGTTTATAAATTCAATTTGATTTGGATTTTGAAAAAAAAATAATAAGATATTTAAATTTGAGATTATTATTTTATTTATTATTTATTTATTTATTTATTTATTTTTGTAAAAAACGAGGTATTAACGTCAATTGAACTGCAACTCAGTGACAATACAATGTATATCGTGTATGGTAGATGGAATATATGATGAACAGAAGATGTGATATATTCCAGAGATATATATAATTAATTTTGGATATGGATATAATTTATTGTATAGATGGATGCATATGGACATATATGGATAGATGAAGATGTAAGAGATAAGAGGATAGAGAGATGTCTTGGATAATTAATGGATATTCACAACTTTTTTTAAGTATTTTCTGTGCTACAAACCCGATTTGTAAAGAACTGGTGTCCATGTCACGTTTGGAGCATCGAGGCAAGACGGCCTCTGAAGCCTGAAGGGCCTAACTTAGGTCAACTTGGAACTACACGAGGCACGGCTATTTGTTGGTGGGTTAGAAATATAGAAGTTTAGAGCTTGAAAGGACCATGGCCGACTGGCTTGTTTTACGCATCTGGACCAGTCCCTATCCTTAAATTAATAAATTGCTAAATAGTAGCAAATTGACTAACCCATTTTGGGAAAGTCCAAAATCGACTTGGACTTGGCGTCCTGATTGAATGACTAAATGGGCTGTGTTTAACATCAAAATCAGTAATATTTTCTATATATTTTACATGTTAACCAAGACAAAGTCACTACATAGATATTTATTCGCATAAAATACATTCCATCTTCTCCCATAATTTGCATACAGCTATTCCGGGTCACCAATAAAATGACCAAATCATTGTGGTCAGAAGGTTCAATCACAGATTGGTAGAAAACTGATGAGATCTACATTAAAATTATGCTACCAACTATTTCTGATCATTAAAATTATGATTTATTGACTGTTGTTGAATGCTCTAATTAGTTTTTAAAAACAATTCATTATAAATATATAGCAGACAATGAATAACCGCTTTTAGACATAAAGAAATAACTATATTTACATATTTAATTTTTGAAAAAATTACTTAAGTATATCAATTTTGAATCTATTTTTAATCGAGTACATCATATCTTATTTTTTATTTCAGTATATCAAGTTTTTTAAAAATGCTAATCAAGTTTTTTATCTAAATTTTCATCTAATGATGATGTTTCGAGTTAACGAGAGAAGATTAAATGATTATGTTACCTTTTTTATTCTCTTTTCAAATTGTTATTATTGTTTAATTATTAATTAAAAAAAAAACAAAGCAATGCAACTGCTTTGCTATTTTTTTTATTAAGTTACTTTATTTTTTTAATTAATTAAGTTGCTTTGTTTTTTAATTAATAATTACACAAAAATAATAATTTGAGAAAAGAAAAGAAAAAAAAACTAATATAATCATTTAGTTTTTTCTGTTAACCGCTATATCATTGTTAGACAAAAAAAATTTTATTTACGTTTTCAAAAAAATTGATATACTAAAATGAAAGAAATAAAAATTAATGTAATCAATTAAAAAATTAAAAATTAATATAATTATTATATAATTTTTCGTTTAAGTTTCATTTAATACGTAACTTTCTATCTTATTCTACAAACTACTCGCTCCAATTGGCTAATCTTCTTCTTTTGTGCCTCGCTGAGATGAAATTCACTTATTTTTCTATGAACTATCTTTGCAGTGCACTCGCCAATCATTATTCATATCATCCTTACCTGCCATACTCACCTGTATATCAAATGTGAATTTTTTTAGTAAATTTTTTGGTCTTAACAATTGTCCTTCACGTTTTATCATTTGACAAACGACGAGAAATATGTACAAGTAACACTAAACTCGATACATGTTTGAGAGATAATCGAGAAAAACCTACTCATCATAATTTTGAAATTTATTGTCATGATTACATGCCCTCAAAAGACGTTCTCAATCAAAACCCTCTAATCCTCATACATGTTGTCTTCTTCATTTAAACTTTCACTCTACTTCTCTCTCAAGGAGACCTTCGATCTCAAGCACAACTCTCCGTTTGTCTTCATCAATCATGGGAAGAAAGAAGATTCATTGCAAACCCTAAACAATTTACCCAAATATCTCTCCCTAAATAGAGATAGAATCACCCAAAATAAAAAAATCTAGTCAAATCGGATGACCGCATCATCTAGGTATAAAGAGAGAGATGCTTAACCCTGAATTCTAGGTCATGTGTTCAAACACGAGGAAGAAAATAAAGACTTCAAATGCCTTTACCCTTCTCGATGACGGGAAGGTAATTAAATTCTTCTCATCAATAAACTTTTCCTTCAATTTTATCAGACTGAATCTAGGCTCAAATGCCATTAAGACATGGGCCACTCAAAACAACAAATTTGTAGATTGAACTAAAAAAAATTCTGAAAAATAAGCAAACAAGAGTTATCATAGAGAAAAACCGTTTACTAGTCCTTATCTCTCGTTCCCAAAAACCTATTCCCTCAGATGCAGAAATTTTCTTCGCCCCACTATCTTTCCGTTCCAGTATATCTAATTGCTCCATCTTTCCAATTGGATCTATGACAATCACCCTCTAAGGTTATCACTTTCATAACTAGAGCTTTACATTTTGATTTAACCTTTCAAGCTTCGCTTCGCTCACTTGAAATCCAGACCTTTTTAAATAACTCTTTTTACCTTTCAAATCTTTTAGAAACGATAAAAAGTACAGAGCCAAATAGCAAAGATGTGCTTATGAAATACTTATCGTACTTTATTTGTAAATGCTTAGTCTGCAACCCTGGGTTAAAACCCTTGAAGCAATATGTACTAGTAGCTATGAGCGAGTTCGTCCTCGCCTTATCGTATAGGGATTTTTCAATAACATTTGCAAACTTAAAATGGTGCTGGCCACTGTGGTAAAAGCCTATTTTTCTCTTTTTGGTGATTTCAGCTTCTAAGAAGAAGACAACACCAAGCACAATCCCTTCGACTGGATTTCAAATCCTCCTTTCAAGATAGTCTTGCCTACTTTTACAACCTACAATCCATCTCTATTTTCATTCCCTCTGAATCTAGAAATTTTTGGACCCTCAATCTATAAATAAACCTAAAGTTTCAAGATCGAAACAGCACGAGTCCAACAGATATGACTGCTCATAAAAAGCTATGGGCAAAAAACCCAATAAGGCGGGGCCTACACTTCGATAATAGCATGGGAAAGACATAAGAGTGTGGCATTGAAGTTTGCACTCCGCACTATGCGGCGAGACAATTTTCCATGATACAAAAAAATGGCATGTTCCTCTGTTCCCTTTTTCTGAAGAACTAGAACGATATTAGAGATCCATTCAACATACCTTGCTGGGAGATGAACTTAAGAGGTAAGAAGCAGTTTTATCTCTTCTTTAATTCACGGAAAAACATCTAGCGCAAATCATCGCACTTTATGCTTATGAGGACGAAATCGTTCTTTAGTTGGCAATTGGTGTTCAACCAATCTCTTATCTAATTCAGGCATTTCATTATAATCTCAAGCCAAGCAATCTTTAAATTCTTGGGAAGGGAGAAACCAAGTCGCTCTTTTTAGTATAAGACAACTTTTGATTAATAAATATTGGTCGCAGAGAAGAACCATCCTTATAGTCAATCTCTTGAAGAGGATCCTGTATATTCCAGCCATGAACACTTCAGAAAATTTAGTGTCGTCGCTGGATGATGCCCCCAATTCCTGCAAATCATTTTCTAATGCACAATCTAGAACAAAAGTCTCCTTCTAGCATGCCCCCAACCGTAAATAAACTCGTAGGCATTGCGTTAAGGCTTCAACAACAGCTTTCTAGTGAACTGCTTGTTGGTTGTCATATAAGGACATAATTTGGGGTATCAACAAAGCCATCATTTAATAATGTTTGCATGTTCGCGTCGAAAGCTTCTTTCGAATCCATTAGAGTAGCAAATCCTTCCACTTTAGCAGTTGTTTTCTTTCCATCACCTTCATCATCTAAAATCTGGATAGGTCCAAAGTGACCATTGTACAGAGAATCCTCTTTAAAAGTTGTTACTAAAACGAAAAAATCTGAAGATTGCTATTGACCTTCTCCACTCACTTGTCTTTAGTTTTTTTAAAAAACCAACAATTGATGAAGCGAGGAGGGAAATGCCTTATTTGTGTAGATCATATCTCGTCCTAATAATGCTTTATTATTCACGTGTCCATCAACCATAAAGAATGTTGTGGCACTTGTACTTTGCCTCTAGTTAAATCAAGAGGCAAAATCCCTGGTGTAGTCCTTGTCTCCCCTACTATACTAATAACCACAGCATCAAAAGGATTCAATCAGCATCTGACTTACCAATCTCTTAAGCATCCTCATGGTCAAAATGTTAACTACAGTACCATTATCTACCAATTCTCAATTCATTGGCTGGTCATCCACGTAAGTTTTAATGTATAAGGGGCGAATATAAGTTTGTACTTCATAAAGTGGTTTTTAAAAAATCAACCTTTTTAAGCATTGTTGCTCGCTAGCAAAGGCGATTCCTTCTGCGTGAGTTTTGCTATTCTTTATCTCATGTATCTCAATAATTTTCCTGTTTAACTTATGCTTATAGCTTCTTGATCCAACTCATAAGGCGCTCCCCAATGACACCTTACTTTCGTTGTTGTAGCTAATTGTGATGTAAAATATGGTAAGTGTTGATCTATTAGAGCTAATACTTACAGACAAGAAATATGATGTTACATTGTAGCATGGCGAAGGCCCATCCCACATTGGCTATAACTCTTCTCTACCTTCCATTGGAGAATAAACCGTCATCACTTTTGTACACGTAGGCAAATATTGCTCTATATATAACTTCAAAACTTTCAATAGAATCGTTAGCGCGATCAACATCTCTACTAACAATACGAAAGCCATTATTCTCTTTATTACTTAGATCAACATTCACTACCTGAAATTCTTACGGCAGTATATAATTAATCACCACTATAAGAGGAAAGTTTCCAAATTGTAAAGAAATTTCCCTTGTTTTCTGATTTTCCTAAACATGCATTACTATCTGTTTCAATGTTCTTGTTTCTATTAAAACAAGGGGTTGGAGTCATGTTTAATTGAATGTTAGGCTTCACATTCAATAGCGCCGCTGCGAGTTAACAAGAAGAAACCCTTGGTTAGAACTAGTGCTTTCCCACTAAACTAACTTGCAGAAGTGTACTTCATAGCATGTAACCTCTCGCTGAACCTTTTTGATGTAGAGACGTCACTTATATTCTCAAATCTCTTGGTCAAAGTAATTTTTTTCTTCCTCTAGTACCTCATTTGCATTCTTGTCATTTCTGATATGGGTTTAGATCCTACACGATGCTACTTCCGATCACTGAATAGAGGAGGCATCATCATCTTAGAAGTGCGAAGGTGTCAAGATCCCAAATAATGGTGAAACCCTTTTCTCGTCGCAGGCGATGATGCTCTTGTCGAGTTATTTCTTTTGAGAAAAGCTTTCTCTCGCGATCGAGCTCGTTTGTTCTCTATGTTAAACATTTTGTGAGAAGGTTCATAGTGCTTTAGTCTGTATGAAAAAGCAATAGCCCTTGTCGGTAAAATCGTATGCATAGAGCTCTCATCAACATAACCACTCCTCTTTGGTTGTAAATAGCTAGTTTTTCACATTTCTGGCACAAAGCCAACGGAACTAGAACATTTGCTTCCATCTGAAAGAGAGCAGCCACGCAATAAATAAATAAATGGTAACGTTCTCGTGAACAATCTTTGTTATTGGCGAGACAGCTTTACTAAGAACTGAATCTATGTTTGTTTTTTTCTTACTTTTCGTTCTTTGCATCCACCATATGTACGGAAAATATGATTTGCATTTCCCCATCTTGAACTTCGATCATATTTTGTTATGGTGGTAATGAAAAGGATTCTCTTCAAAAATCAGCTTATTTTCATGATCTGTAAATTTGAGTTTGCAAGCCTCAATCGCTATTTGGTTAGTGAAATACAATATTTCTTTCCCTTTAATTTTTCAATAGGAGAATAATATGACCAGGTGCTAACTTGATTTGCTTATCTTTCAACAACATATCAAAATTTTATTATTTTTTTTTAGAAATATTAAAGGTGGCAACCATTTCTCTGGCGATTCTATTATTAATTATTTTGCGACGAGAAAAGGGAGGTTTGGCCTGTGATTCTCATTTTGGGAAAAAGTTAGTGGCATAGCGTGAAAATTCTCATTTTGCGCATCAACTCCAGCGACAATAATCCCAGCGATAAGATTAGCTTCGCATGGTGGATGCTCTAAATGCGAGCTTGCTAGATGTTCTGATCTATATGTCGTGGTCGTGGGTATTCCATTATTTAGGCACACGTCATCAGGTGACCTTGTTGGCCAATCAGTGCTCACAATATTTGATACACTTGTCCTAGAGAGAACATTATTTAATCTATGGTCAATTTCATTTTGCAACACAGAATTCTCGCTTTCTAAAATACGACCAGCACTGTACAAAATTTGCATAGAAGCACAACAATAACTACACGATACAAGATTAAATTTATATGGTTCGATAATATATTTATTTTACACGACCTAAGATTAGATTTATCTAATTTGATAATATATTTATTTTATGATTGCATTAAAAAAAATTATTAATTATAAATATAAAAAATAATATTTATATTTATAACATGAATAAATAGAATTATAATAAAAAGAATTCATAAAATTATATACCTTATTCAATATTTCATAAATATTCACGTAGCGTACTGAATTACGAAATACTCCAAGATCTACTACACAGCATAACAATTGTGACCCGACAAAACTCAACTGTTACGAATTCCCTAGTCAATTTGAAGTTCTCAACAACACAACCCAACACAAAAGGACAAATGGGCGAGCAGCATGCTCCCACCTTGTCAATAAGACAATTAAAGGGTAATTTATCATTAATTTTTTTCCTTCGCGTTGATAATAAGTTTTTTTTACGAAATTAATTAAAAAGGCTGTTTTAATTTAAAAACATTCAACCTGATTCGACCACCTGATCATTAAATAAAAAGACATGATTTACTAAGAAGCTATAACCTTTATGAATTTTATAATTTAATTAGATTGTTACAGCCCAGACGAATTAATTTTGTCATTTCTCGAGACGAAGGTCTCCTTTTTTCAGCTCAACCTGTTTTATAATTTTATAAACCAAAATCACATCTTCTCACGCCTGTGGACGTTAAAATGTTTTAAAAGGGTTCACTATCACCTCATCATTATGCCTTGGAAAAGGATTGTTCATTTAATTACGATTAGTTTTAAGAAAGAAAAATCTTAAATAGCAGTTTACTTCCAACGAAATGCTCGGTTTGGCTCAAAATTTTGATGCCTCAAGTATGAAAATTCTGTGAGCTATTCGTACAAAATCAATTAATTATCGTGATAATCAACCATGCTGATGTGACCGACCTTAGCTCAGTTGGCAGAGCGGAGGACTGTAGTTGTTTAGCAGCATATCCTTAGGTCGCTGGTTCGAATCCGGCAGGTCGGATTTTAAAATTTTATATATATATATAAAACGATAGATAAATGAATTGAGATAATTTTTTTAAAATGACCTGTGAAGGGATATTTGCATTGGAAATCCTTGTATTAGTGGCTAGGAAATCATGTTATATTTAGTGGCTAAGATATTTTGTACGTTTATTAAAACTATCTGATATATTAAAAAAAAATTAATAAATTTTTAGGATTGTTGATTTTAAATTTTGAACTCAAAAAATTAAAGAAAAAATATACATTTTTAACCGTGACAGGATAGAAACAAACACTGGGGCTTGCGCTTAGGATCATAGCCTTCCAAATTTTTGAAAATCTTAATTTCAATTCTTATATTTAATAGTTCTTTCAATTAGGCCCTTTAAAAGTTTAATCACGACTCTTTTATTTAATATTTACTTCAATTACACTCCTCTAAACGTTTGATTATTCTATTTATGACCCTATCTGTTATAGTTTGACTATTCGTCCTTCTATATATATACAGGCCCACTTATTTATTTTACTCTAGCTCCGTCACTGTACTAGGGCAATCCTTCGAGATTTTCTAACAATTTGAAGAAACGTTAATATCATATAATTTTCTCTCAACCTGCTTCACACGCTCAGATGAGTAGCAATAAGTTTATAGGACATCATGTTTTTCAAAAGATTCCAAAGGAAACATGACCACTTCCTATTGCAATATACACAAGCTCGCTCGCTAGCAGGTCATCATGGAAGCGAGTTTGAAGTTCTGGCTGGGTGCAGCCAAGTTTTCGACCTACTGACTACGAAGGAGGTGGGAGCATGGCGGATGAGATGTTCGCCTTTACTTGGGAAGTAACCTTTGATCCTTTTCAAGAGAGGTTTTTTTTTTCTATTAAAAAATCCACTATATAATAATGCAAACTCGTTAAAAAATTTCGATTGAATACTATATTCTTAATGCAATATTAACATTATAATATATATTGATTATTAATATTTGAATTCCTCCCCACCTCTAATCAATTAAGGAGGAAAAACAACATTGAAGAAATTATTAAAACCTAAAAAATAAATTACTCCCGTTTTCTCATTATTTTTCTATTTACTAATCACATAAAATCCTAAATAGCATAAAATAAGTTTTTTAAATCATTCCTAATCTATATAGTATATTGCTAGTACTTTATTTTGTCTGTAAAAACATTTAAAAAGCTTAAACAAAAGTCCAAAAAAAAGAGTAATATTAAAATTCGAAAATAATAAAACTATGTAAAGTTCATCAAAGTATTAAATTGAATTCTTATTTTTATAGGAATTTTTTTTAGTCTTATATATATATATATATATTACTTTTCAGTTTTTTGAGAAAATTATCCATAAAATATGGATTAATCCTTTTGACAAATTCTGCTGATTTATATATAAAAAAAGATTTTATTAACTTAAAGGTTCATGCATAAAAATTTAATTCATGTCTATATTATTTGTAAGTTTTATACACAGCATATATAATTAAAAACACAAACCTTTTGAATAAAAAAAATATATTCTAATGTCATATTACCTTATAAAAATTTATTAGGACCGTAAATAAAAATTTTGTTCACATAATGTACTTTACATATTCATACAGTATAAATAGAATATTATAATAAACAATGAATTTGTTTATATATTCTTGTAAGAAAGACTTTGAATTTTCTTATAACAACCTATCTATCATAAAAATATATATATAATTTCATTTTCTACCTATGCTAGTAAATAAAATAGTATAACATTTTTAATGATTATTATTTTTAAAATATATATTTTTTATAAACTATCATACATAGGTACACATCTGTGCAACACGCATATATATACTAACAGCCACTATTAGAATTTTGATAAATAACGATGGAAATTAGCAACATACGTATAATAGAGAAAAAAAATTATATATTTTATTATTTTATTTTAATTTATATAATTTTAATTTCATTAAATAATATATCATGTTTTATAAGGTGTTGTTTATAATTGATTGTAATTACAAATCTCAATAAACGACTATTGATTTTTATTAAAAAAAAAAAACAGAGAGAGAGAGAGAGAGAAAAATAATTAGTGACGGAATAGAGAGGATAATTAGCAACGGATACATATACAATCACTAAATAGCAACGGATTAGTGACATAATTGTGAAGATATTAGCAACTACAATTTAGCAACGACCCATTTCGTTTCTATTTAGCAACAAATTTAAGTAAAAATAATAATCGATATGAGACATTACGGATGACCGATTTAGATCCATTTAGTGACGGATTGTTAACAAATTAGCGACGGATATTCCATCATTGATTAGTGATGGAAAAAAGTTTGGTCACCAAAAAAATAGCAACCACCATATTAGCGATGGATTTTTGACAAATACTAACGAAAAAATACATCGCTATTTAGTAAAATTCTAGTCATAAACTAACTATTTTATATTTATGGTTTTTATTTCAATGCAATCAAAATTTATTTACATGTTTTAACGATTATCAAACTAATTTAATTATAAATTATCAAGTTTTATATAAAACCTTTTAGATTTTAAAAAACCAAACATTTTAATTTAATAAATACTAAAAATATCTAGTAAAAAATAATTTAGGATAATTTATTAGAAATTATTAAAAATTATTATTTAATAGTTGAATGACACGCGTACAAAATAGCTTTTAAAAAAAAATACACGTGTGGATCACGTGTCAAAAAAGTAGTAGAGTATAAATATCCCATTAATTTTTAGAACAAACTACTATAGTATATAGATTGTTTGGATGGGGCCGTATATGACATCTTTGTAAACTTAGGGTTAATGATTGGGCCTACAAAATTAGCCCATGGTTTCTGTTTCCTCTTATCTAATAGACTAGTGTAAGGTTAGGCATTAAATATAAAATAATCATTGCATCCTTTTCAAAAATAAATAACTAATAATAATAATATATAATAACTAGAGTTAATATTTTTACATATTCTCATATAGAAGGCCAAATTTTTAATCTATCACTATGTCACACCCCATCGTTCGAAACAGACTTACTTGAAAGGTTACTCGTTAGATGGGTCGTTACTAAAATCTACATCCTTTTATTATTCCTAAACTTTATTCCTAATTTAATCTCATTCATCATTACACATATTAATTAAAATATGGCATCAATAATATAATTATATGACCATCTCATTAACATAGCGAAAATAATTCATGAAAGTTTCATCAATACGATCTCAACATCATTATCATAGTTTTTCTTTAAATTCTAAAAACATCTTTCATCCTCATTCAACATTCGTAAATAACTTCAACCTATTATTCTTACTCGGTTACTAAGCAATAATTTTCAATATTCAAAAACTTAACATTCTTACAATTGATTTTTTTTTTTTTTTTGAAACTTTAGCAAATTTCATTAAAATGCAATATTGAATACATCCTAACATGCAAATTATACCGACCAAGATCCGACATAGAGTCAACTACCCTAGTTAGAGCGACTTGATTCACGGATCTCAAATGTTCCATTGGACATCGAATAATCTTTGATTTATAGGTTGTAGAGGAGATGAGAGGCTATAGCCGTATTGATGGAATTGTGTGACCAACCATGCTCCTAAAGGCCTTTTGAAACTTAACAGGGCGGGATAGAACCAACCGGACTAATCGAGCCATGGTAAAATAACAAAACTTTCGATAAGCGAAAGATAATGAAAACTCTTGACAAACAAGAGACAAGTAAAACATAACCAAACAAATAGCAACCGAAATCAAAAAACATAAAAAATAAAAAAACCAAACAAGTCCAAAACCCAACCCCACCAAGGCAGAGCAATTCGTTGGAGGAGGTAGGGGTTGACGCCGTTTAAAGTAGTCACGACATATGCAATGGTGGAATGTTAGCAAAGGCGGAGTCGACAAAAGCGCTAGTGGTGGTGGCTACCGGAGAGGACA